CCGCTGGAGACGCCCTGCGCTGCACGTCAGTGACTGCAGCCGTTGTGCGCGCTAAGTACACCGGAGATTCTATCGCTATAAAGGGTGTTGCTACAAAACTCTAATTAAACAAATAAAGAGACCGGTGAACCTTAAAAGCACAAACGCACGGAAAACAGTGCGATTCATCACCAATTTTAGACCCGCACACGTCATTGTTTTTTTTTCTGTTTTTAACTAATTTGCACGTTTTCATGATCAGTTTTAACGACACGAGCGTGAAGCGGACGCCGTGAGTGTTGTTTCAAAAATATTTTAATGTTGCGAGCCTGCGAAGGAGGCTGGTGGCCTTATAAAAACGGACATCATGCAAATTGTTTCGAAACGGCCGGTAGAATTCACAGATAGCATTCGAAACCCTGCACTTTTTTTTATTATTAGTAACAGCTCAAGCGCTCACGCCGTGAACCACCAGCTTACGTTCATAATATGGTTGAAACGAGAGTTTACATGAGTTCGATGAATTCGAAAAGCGTACCCACTGGACAAGCGCTCCTAACTCGAAACTTTCGAAGGTATAATTCTTCGCCAAACGGTGAAATTTTGTTTCAACGAAATGTAAACAGCAGAGCGGTTGTTTGTCTTAAATTTATGTTTATAGGTTGCGGCGTACATGGGCACGTCGACCAGTGGGAACCCGAGGTCGTTAAGATCCATAGAACCAGACCATAAAACATGGAAAGTAATTTTAGGTTTTTCGCGTCGTCAGTGAAGCATACATTAAACAGGCAAAGCCATGAAACGTTTCAGAAGCGGAAAAGAGAAGTCTACCAGACGCATTCAACTGCGAAACAGTGCGCCTGGGGGCAATGCACTGTTTTAGAAACCATAAAAATGTGCAAACTTTCACATCCCATTTCCACATAACAAAACAAAACAAAAAGCCGTGTGTTCCCTGAGGTTGATGTCCCCAATTTATCCAACCAGATGTTATTTCGCTGACCTTTTCTTTTATGTTAAACTCCAACTAAAAAAAAAAAAAAAAAGTAATAGCAACGCGAAATGACGCCATCGACTTCCAACATGAATGGATCATTGCCTAGTGCAAGTAAAAAAAAGTAAAAAAGATATGCATAAATTTCCGCGTGCGTGGCCGAGAAGCGTATCTCTCAGGATACTACGTTGCCTCGCTGCTTTCCAAGTCCAAATCTAATCAAGTTTGGGTCGAATTCCCTCTCCGTGTATGTAAAGTCGCTTCTTTTTTATTTAGTACACAAATTTTTGCTTCTGATTTTTCCTCGGCAAGTAAAGTATTGCTTACCCATACTCGTTTATTCGTGCGTATCTGAGCGTCAGGCCTTGGCTTAGATTGCACGTCGGCGTGCGTGTGTGCGCAAATGACCATGTTTCCGTGCGCCATGAATAATAGCTTTGTCGAGGACTCAAATCCGTTTCGCTGATTTCCCTATTGGATCCGCGCTTCGATTGAACTTGGACACGAAACTCGGCAGGCATGGGTGGATCGCGTGCGCCCAATTGAACTTGAAATCATCGTTAACGTTAGAAGGTGTACCGTGTCACGATTCGATTAGAACAACAAAAGCAAAGCTAGCAACTCGGGAAACAAAACTGCATGCGCAATTGTTCGTTGCCGTTTATGGATCAGAAAAGCAGAAAGCTACAAACACGAGCACGTTGGGAAGTTCGCATTCAAAGTGCGCATACGCTGGGTGCCTAAAATAAAGTGTACGCGTAATTTTATCATTTTGTTTGCAGCTGATTATTCAACGCCCCTTTGCCTTTTGGGGTACAGCGTACAAAAATTGGCAGGGATTGCTCTGGGCATCATTTGGAATAAACAGCGCCGTAACAGTAATGAATTAAGCGTAAGTTTTTAAGCAGTAAAATAACCTAGGAGCAGGACCGTTCACCGAGATGTTAATGCATATGGTTAATGTTTTGGGCACGGACCGGGCCATCACAGCAGTTGAAGTTTCAGTCAGAAATATTTGTAATGCCAACTACGCCCCATGAAACCGAGTAAGTATTGTTTTATTAAAAAAATAGTAATATAATGTTTTTTTTAACATGTAAAGAATTGTTGGGATGAGGTATAAAGTATCATTCTCCTTCTTCCTATGTTATATTTTGAAAAATGGAAATCAAATTCGTCAATCAATGTTGTTAAGAATCTGAGCGGTACTGAATAATAACAGAGCCCACGAAAGGAATCTCAAAGCAAGGCTCGTCTTTGTTAAAATCACAAGGTGTATTCATTTATTTATTTACTTAAACTTAGTATTGTCAGCCAAACTAAAATGAAAAATTTACCACCACTTATAAACGTTTAGGCATGGTTACCACTGCATCTATAACTGTTGCACAACACCGCACTCTAAACAAACAACACATGATGATCATTTTCTATAGTTATTGTCATTTTCTACACTATATGATTTTGTTTACCAATATAATGCTATAAAAGGATAATTCCTTCCGGAATAATTTTCGAAGTCAGTCTTTTAGGCTGAACAAAAACTACGAAGTCGAAAGCAAGATCTTGTTTTGCACCAAGTAATGTCACCCAGAGCGTACAATTGAAGAACGAAATAAATAATAAAGACAACTAGTTATTCAAAACTTGCCTGAAAGCAACATTGGTACGAATTTATTTCACAGACGACGGAAATTATATTCCGCATACGTTACATAAAAGTCGAGTCGTCCCGCGAGTGTTAATTTCCGGGGGACAAGTGTCGGGAAACTCCCAGGGTATGACTCCGTTTCCTTTAGGATGAACCGGGGCGGTCGTTACCAGCCATCGGGGCCAATCCAGCGCTGCGAATGAATCGCGTGACTATGCGCCCCTTCTGACTGTCATGCGTAACAGCCAAACGGCATTAGATCGGTTTAGTTGGCTCGTAACATTCTCAGCAGTCCACCACCGACGGAATATAGTCGCGTTCGGCCACCCTACGACTGCGTTCCGGTTAGCGAGCGCGTTCCCGCAGCTATCAGCCGCATATTTGCGAGCGCTTTAGTGCCTGCGGGCCAAAGACCACTTCGCGCTGTGGAATCTCGAGCGCCGCTGGGGACTTTTAATGCGCGCGCAAGCAAGTTTCCCCCAGCCGGAATCGGGGCAAGGCGAGGAGCAAGGGCGCGGGCCCTCGATTGAATAGGCCCACTCGGGCAATACAATTTTTGAGAAACGTGCAGCGTCATGGGGGGTGTTCGAAAAGAATGCCCGGAGCTGCCTGTCCCTACCAGAGGTCGGCATTTTAGGTTGACCTCACTCCTTCTCACCCTCACAGCCACACTCACCTAAGCCCCCCACTCACCCTCACACTCGTGAATTGTTTTGCTTTAGAAACTCACTCAACCTCACGTCAAATGGTAGGATGAGGGTGAGCGAGGACCCTCATAAGTGAGGTTTGCCGAAGTATGGTCCCTAGATACGTGGCCGGCTCTAGCAGACGAAAGAGGTCGGAGGTAATTTGGCTTGTTGGTTATCATTCTTCGATTGAACGGCTCTGCTAAGGTTTTAACATTGAAGGACACATGGGCTAGGAAAAGACATGACACACGTCGGTATGCCACGCCCTTCAATGTCAACACTTTAGCGGTGTAATTCATTTGAAGAGCGGGCGAGGGCAATTAGTGCCACGTGGCAGATCCTGCAGTACCCAAGGAGAGCATACAGGATGTTCCCATAATTCGTAGCGGTTTCACTCCGTGCATTCGGGGAATATTGGGAAATGCCTATTCCCAAACACCGTAATCGAAATAGACTCTTCCGCCGTGCACTCTCGTGGGTTACTGAAAGATTCGGTTTAGTAACTTTCAACAAGTAATTCGCTGCGGTTACAGTTATTTGCAGGTCGGAGTTACCGCTAGAGTCACCGCACCGAAAAGAAATTCTGTATAGTTATTTTTAAAAAAAGTAGCGGCGTTACTGTTAAACTTCTTTTGCATTAGGCTACAGTAAAAGATAAATCACAAAATGCCACCTGCCCAAATTTTACTACAGAAAGTGTAAGGAAAGTTGACGCAAGTTGGCACAGGGCGATTACGACACTCAAAATATCGGAACACATTGTTTGAAAAGTGGGAGGAATGACTAGATTGGAGGGTACTCGTTCAATGATATTATAATGCAAAAAAAAAAGAAACTGTGAACAGTTACTACAAATGTAACTCGTTACTTTAGAAAAAAGTAATAGGACTATAGTAAGAAGTTACTTTTAGAAAAGGCAGTGCGCATGTTGCTGCAAAACGTTACCAAAATCTCACGAAGCTACGGCTGCCTTTCTCATTTGCTGAGCTGAGTCAAGGAAGACCCGTGATTGGTTCCTTGCGGAGAGAGTACGGATTAGCCTCGGGAGCGACTGGTCTTTAAAGGGTTACCATGAAATGCGCTTGCAACCGAACGGCGTGTGTCTTCCGCGTAGATTGGCGGTTCGTTTTCTTTTCCTTATGTAAGGTACAGGGACAATAACACTTGTCCTTCTCCGGCGAGAGCTGGACTCGGGACATTCGCGGCAACTAATCTAGTCACAAGGGGAAATATGAAACACCCCGCTCGAGGAGTGTCCCGCCCTCTCTATCGGGGACTGCCGGGGCCGCCGAACGCGACGGCTGCTATCAATCTCTTCTCAAACGTCATGAAGGTTTATGAATAGAGAAACCCTCGAGCGGGATGTTCCATGTTGCCCCACAAGACCAGGTTAGTGGCCGTTACTTCCTCCAGTCGAGGTCTCGCCGAAGAGAGCCGCGCGCTCCCTTTATGGACAAGTGTGATTACCACTGTACTTCTCAAAGACCTTTAGGGTATTTAATAAATAAATAATTGTGTGCATGCCTGCGTTTTCGCGCGGCGAGAGGCATAGCGGAGACGTTGAACAATGCGAAGAAGACACTTGAGGATGGCGGACCTCTTCGCAACTTGTGTCGCAGCCGCGGCCCATAAACCATGTGACCGCTATCGGGAAGTCGGAAACGTTCTCTCCCATCTGGGCGCTCACCTAGTCTCGTTGTTCTCGAAGACGAGGGTTCCCTGGCACGGCTCGAAGTCTTTGCCCTCCTTGGCCGTTCCCTCGACGGCCTTGTATGGCAGAAAAACGCGGCCGCGGGCCCCGCTGAATCGGTTCACCTTGACGTGGTACTCGCCCGCGGCCTCGCTTATCTCCACCTGCAGAACAAGCAGAGCCACGTTGCAGTCATTGGCGCGGATCAATCAATACGAACCGCGAATAGAAATTGAAAAAAAAAAATGGTCGGAAAGTCACGTTTAGACGGAAGCGGCGAAAAGTCCATCTATCATCTCAGCGGACGACGTGGCTCGCTTCGTTTAAAGTCTTCTCGAGCGAGAGGCAATGAGTTTATCGATCTAGCTGGATTGATGATCAAATGTAGTCCGAAACTTTGGCGCTGATGTTGACTTCTAAGTCTTTTGACACCTTAAATATACTGACTTCTTTTTTTTAATGCGACGCTCTAGAGCACCGCATTTAGATACCATTCAATTAAGGCCTCAATACCAAACCTTGTGTTTTCTAACAACAACAAAAAAGTCGTGATGAAACATAGATTAGAGAACGAGTAGTGCGAGATATGGCGTCGGAGATTTTGGAAGTTACCGGTGGTGCTTGGGGGGGGGGGGGGGGGGGGGGGCTGTTTCGCTTTAAATGACGAGGTCGAACATTTTTCGGTGCTTCGGTTGTAAGTACGGTTACACCTTCGGGATTCATATATTTTTATTCGTGCAGGATTGCCTCCAGCCGCTCATCACTTCTAAACTATTTCTAGCTTTAATTGACCGAAAGACAGGAGGAAAATCAGGAGAAGTCGGTGCTGTACCTGTGATTTCGAGCAAGAAACAAAAATCAAAATCTACCGTCTTGATTGTTGACCATTGTATGTCGTATTTCCGTACAAATCTGAGCAGACAAATGAATTGTCATACGCCCGTTGAGGCCCTATTATAAATGCTTAGATGGACCCGCTCGAGACTTAAGAAGGACCCATGAGGATTTTTGGCAAATCTCAGAGATGCAGGACTAGACTAGCTTTAGTTATAGGCCTCCCGCACTGAGTCTTCGAACAAACTGTGGCGCCCTAATTTTGGAGGCAGTACAAGCTCACTTGATTGGACTTCGCACTACTTGTGATTCCTTCGCTGAACTGTTTTCATTCTGTGTAGTGTTGAAGAGCGGAAAAACATTCTTCGACGTCCGAAATCGGTTAGATTCAACGCCACTATAGACAATCAAAAGTGTCAGATTTGTGACTCCACCGCTAAAGTACGCGTCTCCTATCTCTGCATGGTGACGTCAGAATATCTATACGTCCCGACACAATATATCTTTTTTTTTTTTTTTTTTTTGCTTTGGAACGCGTGAAACGACGTCTTTTGGTTTCCGCTCTTTGAGTCTTATAGCTTTTACCTGTGCTCTGAGGGCGTTCGAAATTTCTTTTGTTTCTTTGTATTTTCCTCGTGATCTCGCGTTCCACACCAGAGCAGGTGAGCTTCAACATGTGAGGCAGTTTGAGACGCTCGAGTTTGTACTACCCAAAAACAAGTCCTAACGGCTCCCTTTTCGGAGCGTCCCCTGGGCAAAGCAGGAGGACTATTGACATGCGCGTGCTGTTGGTTGTTGAAGGTATTTATATGACTCTGTAGCAAAGGTTTCACTTGCACACAAATTTATTTGCATTTTGAGAGGAATGCAGAACTGCGAAAATGGAACGTCGGCAGCGTCAGCCGATGGCGTTTGAACGTCTCTAGCTCTCACGATGGAATGCAAAGCGTTATCTTTTTTCGAACCCGCGCGTGTCCTGCGTCTTCGTCGCAGTGCGATGGAATGCAACTCTTTTTCGAGCGCACGCGCACTGCGTCTCCGTCACCGTCGCTCCGAGGAACGGAAAGTGTTTCCGTTTCGTACAAACTACAGTTACCAGTGTTTAAAACATAATCTACCCTCACTGCTCAGCTAATATCATGTGGATGACGTGGACATTTATAATATGAACCCTAAATCATTGTACTTACACAAGCCCTTGCCGTCTTTGACCAGGTCCCAAGCTGTACTTGGTAATTCTTTTCTCATGAATAAATATTGTTATTATTATTATTATTATTATTATTATTATTATTATCGGCGTTTTTTGCTTCCTATGCCGGGCAAAAAAATAAGAAAACATCTCAAGCTGGAATATGTAAGAAAATATAGGTGAGACAAAACAAGAATGTGTGTCAATCAAGCGTTTTTCGCAAAGAGCTTCCAGCGGCGTGGAGAGATCAAAACGGTGTATTACCGCATACCAGAAGTGACGACATTCAAGATGGCGGCGCCCATGTGGGAAAGGTAAAGAACACCTTTCCATAAAAGCATATGAGGGCGCGTTCTTTGCTGTGTTTGTGTGTTATGCACGCGTAATTTCTGACTGGCGGCAGTTGCGAGCAAGTGCCGGCTGGACTCTGATCTACAGCCTGTGGACTGTGAGTCTTGTAAGCAGTGTAAACGTGTATGGGGGCATTCACCGGACGCCATATTTGAGGGCTCTGTTTGAAGCACAGGCTCGGAACGAGCTCACGTTTATAGGCCGCTAAGACCGGCAATCTCGATGGTCTGGAATGCACGTTACAAAAGAACTGACCGATCTCATCAGCTAGTTTGACTACGCCACCACTGCCGCAATGCGTCCAGGGAACTTTAGTTTTTCTGCACGAGCAATAACCTTGCTGGAGCTCTGCGCTTGTGGAGCACGAGACGGCATGAGCGCGCACATGTACGGCCGTTTGCCTCACGTGAACTAAAGCTATGGCGATGTCACGCATGCGCCGAACGCTTAGTGAGATCGGCCTATTGGAAGCTCGCCATCAGCACGCGCTCAGCAGTTGCTCGCACAGCTACACTGTAGCACAACTATGGTCGCATGTGAATACTACCTATAGGGAGTATTCACTAGCGGCCATAGTTGTGTGCGCGACTGCTGAGCGCGTGCTGACGGCGTGCTTCCCCAGTTCTTTCGCCACGTGCATTCCGCACCACCAAGATTGCCGGTCTTAGCAGCCTATGAACGTGAGCTCGTTCCGAGCATGCGCTCTAAACATCGCCCTCAAACATGGCGTCCAGTGAATACTCCCTATAGAGGATCGTAAGCAGGGCATCTAACCGCTGCCGTGTCTCCTCACGTGCGGTCAAGGACACGCGATTCCAAACCTGTCCTAGCTCACGCGTATGCTTCATGTGCTGGTGCCCATGGGGCAGTCGGGGCGCTAAGCTTGCAATTGTCTCTGGAGACTAGAAGCTCCGCCTTCAGCGCGGGCTTTCTGCCCTTGTCAACACAAACGTGATTGCGCAGGGACGAGCAACCGAAGTACTGCGGAAGGCAGCGAGCTCGCGCTGAAGGCGGAGGGTCTAGTCTCAGCTTAAATAACCTTTGAAAAGAAATGTTTGTTTTTTAACAGTCTGGTTGAGACACGCGCGTCAAAAAATAAATTTTACTTGAAAAAACAGTGTTTTTAGAGCAATATTGACGGCGACAGATTTATTTGAAATTCGGCGCTCGAAGTCCATGACGTCACGGATCATTCCGGAATGACCATATCGGTCGTGAAAGCGAAGCCGATCCACCTCTCCTCCACGCGCCCGAAATGCCGAGAGAGAAAACGAGTGGAAAGGAGGTGACTGCCGACATAATTGCGTCTCGCGCCATCTATATTGCGATAATTTTTTTTTTTTTCACGTGAAATTAATTTTTTTTGACAAAATGTCCCAACCAAACTTCTAAAAACAACAACAACAAAAAAACATTTTTTTTTCTTTTTTTAGATTTTTTTGTATTGATTGTTCCCAGAGTACCGAAACTCCCAAGTTTCGTTTCAGAACGGAGTCACAGCGCAGCAGTCGCGCTCCACCCGTAGTACCGCGAAAACGTTTTAAATCAGTTTCTTCTTCTTTTTTTAGGGCTTATTTTTAAAATGGCCGCCTGACATCTTTTGTTACCGGCTAGAGCACCGTCAATGAGAACTGAATTCTGCGGGATTGACTTCCGGTAAGCGGACTGAAGGAAGTTCGGTACTCTGGGAACAGTCAGTGACTCTATACTTGGTATAATTCTAAATATAATCATACATTCCGAAGCTGCTTGCTTATTAAAGACGCATATTACCTATTTGTTCTAAAAGTCACATCGCCAACACCTGCTGGGTGTCTCGGTACCTCGGCTCTGCGTTACGAGAGCCTGCGAGAACGACGCCTACGCTTTGCTTACACACCCCAGTAAAGCAAATCGCTGGTCTCTGCGTTACTGCATCCCGCTTGCCGGTGGGCAAAGTGCGAAGTCTGCATTGCTAGGTTGTGTTTTCTGAAGGCACACTGCCAGTTTTCTTTATGGCTGCAAACTTTGGAATGAACCATGAGAAGCACGAGGTCTGGCAAGAAGGTTCAAGAAGATGAGCTAAGGTGCGCTAGGGAAGGCGCATTTTTAACTTTATTTGCTCGATGACTATCCCCTGCCCTTTCGTGCGATGCAGTTTACGGATTGTGCAGCTCGTGATTATGTGCATATAGAAGAAATCTCCGAGGACGGGCCTGTTTGCGACCCGATCACGTCTTCCGTGTGCACGACTGGCACACTGAGCATCGACCAGGCACATGGAAAACTCTAGGACTCGGGCACCTCACTAATGAGGACAGTACAAGCTTAAGAAGCTGTAGCGCCCGTCTCGGGCTGATCTCACTACTTAGGGACGGAACGATCGCGGGCTGAATATTCTCAGACAGAGCGTTTGCTGGCAGTATACGGCGAATCGGGTGTCTATCGTGCCAGACAAAGGGGATCTGGCATGACCAGAGAAAGTACTGAGGATGAACTTCGACCGCCTGGGGATCTTCGGAAACGCAGCCTAAATATCAGTTACACGACGCATTCCCGGAATAGTCGAAAGTCATCACGTGCCGAAACGTGCAAGTAGATCGAGCGAGTAGCTTCGACTTGTGTTCCAGCTGCACGAGGGCTTGCGACACGGGACCACGGTTGCCGGGACGCATTCGAACCCAAGAAGCTCGTACTTGCGTCCGCCACGGTGCGGAGATTCCACAGCTTGCAACAGAGGGCAGACTTTCGAAAAGAAAGCCTCTGTCAGACTGCGGGCCCTTTGGCAGGGATTCAAACCTGCCAAATTGGGCTCCTTAAGCCGGGGTCATACTGCTTATACATCATACAAAAAGACAGTCCGCGTACAGATTCGAACGCGAGTCACCGCGAGATCCGTGTTTCGAACGCCGCATGGCAATGAGTTCGAGTAGAAGACTCGGGCACGCGGCATTCTAAGCACGGATATTGCGGTGAGTCGTGTTAGCAAACTGTCTTTTGTATGATGTTTGCGCAGTCTGACCCTGCGGCTTTTGGCTGGCACTTTGACTCAAAGAGAGTGAGAAGGCAGTTTGCATAAACTTCCAATTGTTTCGAGTATATCTTTTCCCAAAAACCAGAATACTGGCAAATACTGACCAGTTGTGGATGAGCATCGTACCGGCGTGCGGTCGTGTATCACTACTGCGTGATGCACGTTAAAGACCCCAGGCTAGCGGCTGTACCGCACTGGCTAAATTGCTCATCTACAGCTGGGAGACTCGTCGCCCCTCTGAGGCAGACCAAGTTCTAGGCTGTATAAACACACACACAACCCAATTTTTTTTTTACTGACCAGTTCGTCCCATGGACCACGCATATACTAAATGTGCGAGCGATTTCTTATTATCTCGCGTGGCTTTCGACGCTATATCGAGAAAGTGGCCATGACCGTATTCATACTCCGTCTCGCATATGTTCGAGCGCTGCCGACAGTATACGAACGTGAGGGAGCCAATAATGCATGGGGGTAAAAAGTGCATTGTGGTGGACGGCACTCGTTGTCCCCGTGTGTTTTCTATCACCACCGAAACGAATCACGCATAGCGAAAGCGCCGCTATCCTGCGCTTTCTTCCGGGCGTGACTGATTCAGCCGCTGACAGCAAACCCACGAAGACGGCGAACTCTGTAAAGTGGCTCCATCAGATCGCATAACGTCGGCGGCGCTCGTACTTTAGGCCAGTTCGCACACTTGATCTAGCTCACGACCGAGTCCTTTGTGATCTCTTACGGGGAGGGCACACACTGGTACGCTGGCGCCACCCATGAGCTGACCCTGGAACTGCATTTCACTAGAGCGGAGGCTTTGCAGTATTTGCGAGATCGAATGTACGTACTAACTACGAAAAATTGCCGTTTACAACATTATCGAATATTTTCAATGCAAAAAAAAAAAAAAAGGAATGATGCGCGAAAAGAGTAAAAAGGAAATGTACGAAACTACCGAGTGTTCCACGGCTACCCGATAGATGGAGCAACTGTGTTATCTTGTCATAATTGCATGGTCCCGAGGGGCATTAAAGGGACACTGACAGGGTTCTTAGAGCACTATATACACCTTACCAAAAAACACTCGACCCCAGGGGCAACAAACCGTTTGTGAGCCCAGTCACTGAGTTTGAGGCTAGACTCTCACCGGCGTCCCTCCTAACCCTAACCGAGTGGACTGTGATTTCAATAGGCGCAGCCTGCGTAGGTGCAGTTTCAAACGCTGCTGGCGGCCAAATTCTCGTCTTTTCCCGCTATATTTTGTGTTTCATGGTACATGTATGTTCCCGAGGACATTGAGAAAGCATTGTGCCACATTAAAAAAAAAAAAGTAAAAAAAAAAACATCTAAACTTGTTTTGTTGGGTACACGCGCGACAGAACGAATGCGACTGGAATGAATAGTTCTAGTTATTTGTTTTGTTTTTTTTTGCGATAAGTTTTGACGGCACCGCGGGATTCGCCGCATGTGAAACGACAAAGGGCTTTGCTGTCAAAAATAAATTGCAACAGAAGAGGGCCGAAAGGCATGCATTTTTCACGCTCACAAATAACGTGTTTACCGATGGACAGGAGGAAGTGTTAACGTTCGTACGTACCACACGATGCAGCGCTATCCGAAACGAATTTATTTGAGAAAGATCTCAAATAACACAGTCACAGTCGACGACAGTCACATCTTGACGATCGGACGGAATCCGGGATGACTTCGTATTGGGGCACGTCTTGGGGAGAGCTTCCTTTTTTCACAACCGCACCAAGGCAAAGAAACAAACGCGACTGACCCGTTTCTCACCCCAACCCGGACAACTGTTTTTGGAGATGGCTGAGGATTTTACGTGGATTATCTCTGGGAGGGGGGAGAACAATGTTCGCAAAATCGCGTCAAGGGTCGTTCGACGTCCTTCACGTCTTTCGTTTCCCGTGAATGTCGAGCAGAAAAGCTTGAATGGCAGGCACTTGCCAGCCTTATTTCTCACAATGGAAGATAACACAAAAAGGGTACGCAGCACGCATAAAAGAATTAAGTGGAAACTTTCAAGAGGGGCGAGAAAACCTCGAATGCAAAACCTCAAAAACGTAGGTAGAGAACCGCGCTGAGCGGGTCTTCACAGTCCCAGAGAGTGGCAGAAAATTTCTAGCTGATAGAGGGCGCGAGAGTCGCACCAACCGCATCAGCATCAGCAACATGGCGGCGGCCTAGGAGCGGTTTTTGGAAAGGTGTATAGCTCCTTCGGAGCAGAGTAGCGCAATCTAGAACGCCGTCTCTCGGCGACTAGCGGCGAACGCCCGGGGGTTCCAACTGCGGTCAGAAATGCATGGGGAACGTGAGAAAATCGTTGTTTCTTCAGTTTTGTGGGGATGTGCGGAATGGAAATCATTTTTGACATAATAATGAAACATTTTAGAATAATATGCGATAAGTTTTGTGCCATACAAGGACGTAACTTTTTTTAAAAAATTGCCTGAGCGGCATCATGCAGCAGACGACACGGCGACGTCACACCATTCACGTGACCCGCTCCGGCCAACCCGAAAAGCCCATCTCCCGCTGCGAGCAAAAATCGTCTGCTTCAAACGCCATTGCCTTGAAAATTGCCTTCTCAAAATTTGCACACGCATCCGATATTATTAAAACTTTGATAAAGTGTTTAGCGCTTTACTAACTTCACGACAGGCTAGTTTTGAAAAATGTGAACTCACCGTTAGTTTTTTAATCAGCCGTGTTATGTCGATCTCCATGTATTCTCCCATAGGGCGGGCCGCCTCCTGGAACCCTGAGTACCACGTGACTCGCGCCGAGCCGCTCTGTCGGCCATGTTGTCGGCAAAACACGGGGTTCAAAGGATTGCGCTACTCTGCTCCGTAGGAGCTATATAGTGCTCTAAGGGTTCTTATGCTCACCGAGATTTTATTCGTACGTGAGGTACAAGAGCCCAACTACCCAGAACACGATTTGCGGCTCGCCGTTCGTTTTCTTTCTGCCCGAAAACTGTTCAGCGATGACTCGACGGTTTGATTCGCGCTCACTCTCTTCTCCGAGGGTCATGTGCCGTTTTCTATGGTTCAGACACTACCACCAAAGATAATCAAAGTCGTGGGTCATTGAAAACACACTCTCGATACTAGAAATGAACAAAAAATACAATCACCATTTTTTTTTGTAGTTCTAGAAAACTGCAAATGCGATGATGGAAAAAAAAAAAGAAAAAAAAGTAGCATAGCAACGTGATTTTTGGTATTTTTCTCCTCCTGTATATTTCTTCTTCCTCCCCAGTCCAGTTTCGGTTTCGGGTAGTTGCGTTTTATTACTTTATTAAAAATATACGTGACACTGTAGCAATGTATTGACTGGGTAGTCTTCTGACATCATAATAAATCGCCTTGCAAAAAAAAAAAAAAAAAAAGACATTTCGGGGTATTACACTCTTTTAAAGGAACTCAGTCGTTAGCAGACGCAAGTTTGTAAACCAGCCTTTAGTGTAAAGCGGTATATATATATATAAAAAAAGTGCAGTATGCGCCGAGTGTTCATATTTTTAAGGTCGAACCTCGGGAGCGAAATAACCAGCGTGAATCCGGTAGACGAACGTTGCCAGACGACGCACGCCCTCACCTGGGTCTCGGGTAGGGTAAAAACTCCGCTGTGGTCGTCGTCGAGGATCATGACCGTGCAGACGGACGGGGTGCCCAGCTTGACCGGAGGCCGACCCGTGCTCGGGGGCTGCGGCTGACCCGGAGAGCCGTTCATGGCGCCGCTGCCCCCGCTGCCGAGGTAGCGCGGGTTCGAGAGCCGAACGTAGAAGTGCTCGTCCTCCTCGAACACATCATCGTCGATCACCTGCGAGCGGTCGCGTGCATGTTACCGACAAATACTGCAATCGATTGAATCATCAAAAATACTCCCGATAAGAAAGTATGCGGGCCGCAAGTTCGTCTGCTTCTTTTCCACAGGCTGTGGTGCTACCACTGATCTCTATGACAATTTGCTGGATCGCGCATCCCCGCTTGTTCACTGCAGCGCGAAAGCGGCCACCGGACGGCCATCTTGCTTGCAGCAAGATCGCGTTTTTGCGAGCGTTGCAGAGGCTGGTGGCCGCGTACTGAAGACACGTTTTCTAGTCGTTCGTCGTCATTCGCCGAAGAAGTTTCTCAAACCCCGTTGAAAACGGTGAGACTCGTCTTTAAGAATGCGTGGAAAGTTTTACGAAAGCGCAGCGCCGCAAAGCACAACTCGTTGAAATCAAGTTTTGCTGGTTTCGCTGCGTGATGAAAGCTTAATTGCCAAGCCAAAGTGCTGCGTCTCTGAGGCCAGATTCTCAAAGCGAACTTACGACGAAAAAAATGCGTACGACAAATTTGAGAGAAAATCCGTATTCTCGAAACGAAATTGTCGTAACTTTTGCGCAGGTTACGACAAAATCCTACGACAGCTCCGAAGCTGTCTTACGCACTTTCTACGATCAAATTAACATGGCCGACAACGTCGCTCGGTTGCTCGGTCGCGACGACCCAACGGACATTTATTTTTCTACCTGCTCTTCTAGCGCGTCCCGACTTCAAGCAGCAAGAAAAAAATGAAGAAGTACTTGAAACCGACCACGACGAACATGAACGCTGGATCCAGACACCCGGAAAAGGCAACAAGGGCGACGATCCCACCGACCAAGCGAGCTCGGCAGAATATATAGGCCTAGCAGGCACTCCGACCCGTTCCGGCGCAGCATTGCTCCGACGGTCCTTGGCCAAGGCCGTCTGCCCACGACCGGCTGGCTGGCTTGCTGAATGGAATATGCCCGCGCGACCCTTGTGGACCCTCCCCGTATGAATAGTTTGATAGCTGAACTAAATTTCAGAGGTCAACCGATTCCCCTTATCATCTCAATCACCTTGTTTTCCGAGGCAGCGGTGACGAACGCTGTCATCGAAAAGGGACTCCTCGATTCTATCTCCTTGTTTTGTGTGATATAGAGCTCAAATAAACGCCGTATGGATTACCTTCGCAACACGGTATGTACACTTTGTTATTAGTATGCCATTTTTAACTGTCGAGCTGTATCAGTTTGTGGGAGCTACGCGATGCCGGTCCAACCTTTCTTTGCCGAGTGTCACGTCAGTATCGAGTTGCAATCGTAGAAGATCGGTCCCGAAGCGCTTACCGAAACGCAGTCTGAATCCAGCACTTAGATCAAACGCACGCGTCCGCTCCGAGTGTGAACAGGTATTTGCGTGGCTCTTGCTGACACTCTCGTTGTTCAAACGTATCTTTTTTAACGTCGGCTCACTCCTGCATTTCCGAGCCTGCGAGAAACGCCGCGGCGGTTTGTTTCCTTCTACGTCGCTTTGCAAACGACTGGCACGGGGCTTTTACCAACGATGAGAGTTGTGTTGACTTCGTAGCGATCGAGTTTGTAGCAGTCAACGAAGCGTTTAAATCCTATTAGCGTCGATATACCACTGCACGGACACGAACCCCAGACAAGCGGTGGTGGAAAGGTCGCCCGTGTTTATGAGAATCAGCTTGAACACTACACATTTACACACAGACAGGACAGGACATACACGGAGCTGTCTATCAACGAGTGGTTAGCCTGTGTTTGTTATTAAAAATCCACGTGCTCCGAACTATGCCTAGCTCTCTAATTGGTTGTTCGTTTTGCCGAAGACGCCGTTGCCATAGCAACAGCACCGGAAGTCATCGTTTCTCCGTAAGAGGTCGTAACTTTCCTCCTCTCACTTAAGAACGCGTTTGTGAATACCGTTCTCGTCTCATCTTACGATGATCGTAACTTTACGAACTTCGTAGCTAAGTTGTCGTAGGTAAGAGGTTTTTTATGAATCTGGCCTCAGTTCCTTCGCACGCTTGGATGGCTAGTAAGAATTGACGCCGTATGGATGTGTTTTGCGAGCGCAATGTGCGTGAAGCCGTATGTACCTTTCGAGTAGCGTTTTACTTTACACTGTCGACTGCACCTTAACTTGCGTCACTCGCGGTCCAGGAACGAGCTTGATTCAGGGCCCAAGGGCGACGAAAGAGGGTGGGGGTGAAGGGACAGGAAGTGCAGGGGGAAGAACGCGGCGGCGGCACGTTTTTTTTAATTTTGTTTTGTTTACGCTTATGGCAATCAATTCAGTAGAAAAATGATCTTGATTTATGTGCGCCCCCCCCCCCCCCCCCCCCCCCCCCCCCCCCCGCTTTCCTACCAAACACTTCCAATGCCCCTGGCTCCATTGCTGGAAAGTGGCAATGTGATTTGAACCCTTAAAGGGCAACTCCGCTTCTTTTCCAGTAGTGCAAAACTATACAGTTCTCTTTGTTATCATCTACAAAAACCCCATGGCAAATATTACGACGGAATTCCGCCTAGAAGTTCATTAAAATCGCTGTCAAAGTTTGACAAGCACGAATCCGCTGGTTTTGGATGAGACGTGCGGGCCAGACAACACTGCCCGGCTGCATTTCCGCTTCCTCCAAATTCCTTCTTCCGGCACGTCCGCGACGTCATCAAGCATGTACAGCTTCTTTTTTTTTTTTTCGATTTTGTTTTCTTTCCCGGGGAGAGCACGGGTGGCGCCAGCGCCGTGAAAGACGTCAGTGACGCGCTCGGCCGGCCCGGCGCTCGACTATTGATACTACTGATAAGCCGATCGCCTCGTTGAGCGCTGCTTGTGTTACATCGCATACTTTTGAACACCAAGTAAAAGGAGGAGAGGGAAGCTGCTTTTGTAAGAATTTTGAGTGACGGGTTAATCTTCTATAATCTTCTGGGAGTAGAATAGCGACGCCTGTGCTAATCCAGGAGGCACAAAGGAGGATCCGGATAAGAGGGGAGCTCCTTCTTCCCCTTGTATATCACGTGGGTGTACATGCTTAGTGATGCCGAATATACAATGTTGTCCGGCTTTGCCACCGTTTCGGTTTCGGTTTGTGATCATGGCTAGAGTAAAATTACACGAAAAATATTTTATTTTTCGCGAAACAAAGGATTGGGGATTGTTTTTGAGTGTTTCAAAAAGCAGAATCGGCCACTATCTCAACATTTTTGAAATTAAGCGGAGTTGCCCTTTAAGGAATTGTGAATGGTCAACCGATTGCCCACGACCATATGGGCCGCGTTTCAAAGATTTTCTATCTTGCCGTTTTGCTTCCTTGCTCCACAGTTTTACTCTGTTTGTGCTCCCATGTGATCTATTGTAGTAGATCTGAAACATAGCCATGGTTAATAGTGCATAAAAGCCACCGTACAGATTGTTTCCCCTACTCGCCGGAACAGCTGGACGATCCAGAATTCCGTGGCTGATTTAGGATGCAAAGACATCTACCCGCGAAAGGCCTTCAAAACTTTGCCGCGGCGTCAATTCTCGCTCGGTGTACATGCGTTCGAAGGCACAGGGACGCAGCACTTTGGCGTGCCAAGGAAGGTTTGATCACGCCACGAGACCGGCGAAACTTGCTTTCGTGGAGTTGTGCCTTCTTTTTCCAGCGGCGCCTCGCTTTCCTAAAAAGTTCCACGTTTTCTCAAAGGCAAGTCTCACCGTTTTCACAGGGTTTTAAAAAATACTTTTCCGGCGAATTACGTCGAACGAGTAGAAAACGTGTCTTCAGCACGCTGACGCCAGCCTCTGCAAAGCTCGCAAAAACGCAATTTCGTTGCATGCAAGATGGCCGTCCATCCTGTGGCCGCACTCGCGGAGCGGGGAAGCGCGATCCAGCAATTGTCATAGAGATTAGTGGGTGCCTGTCCCTCGGTCAGAGCCAATCAGAGCTCGGCGTTCTGACGTCACCTACGCCCCCGCAAAAGAGTCAGAACGTGTGCTCCGCATACACCGAGACGCTGTTTGCAAACAAGTGTTTGCCCACACCAAGTGTGGACGCTGCGCGTGCGCAGAAATCAAATTCGGGTGAAGCGAAGCATCTGCGCATGCGCCGGGCCGACAACAGCGTCACAGCCGCATGTTGGCGCATATTTACCACTCAACAGTTTACAAACAGTAGCAGCCCATCATACGGAGATGGCAGCCAGGAATTGCGGGATTACCAAACGGCCAAACAGCACGCAGGAGAAGCAGTGGGTTGGCAGTTAGCAAGCCTTGTTAGCGTCTTCTTATTGCAGAAGCAGGATTCCACAAACAACCACTACGTTCCTAGCGTTTCTAATCCTATTCGTACTTGGTCTCACAACTTGTATGTTTTGTTTGACTCGTGTTTGCATTTTTGGGCACCTAATTTATCGGTTTAGTTTTCACGTTAATAGCACTGATGTGCTTTGCATGCACATTTAGAATTACTTCATGTATAGACCATTCTAAAGTTGCTATCTTTGTCTGCTAGGCTGCGAAACACTTTTCGAGTATGCGCAATAGCTCTCTTTTGCGGTATATCAGACGCTTCGCTTGAGTCCACAGCCCAGTGGCTCCACATGTTTTGCCTCGGAGATAAGCGCTTTAAAGGCGTACAGCGCCTGGCAGTGTGATATATCAATTAATGTACTTCCTTTAGTCAACTTTGCTACCGTAAAGAAGGCGAGCAGCATGGCGCCGTGACGTTCATGCCTTTTCAGCTTCCCCTTGAAACTGCGTGACTTTTAGAACCTGATAAAACTCGCCCTACTGCGCTGACTAAGCAGATTAAAAAAAAATTATTCGGTGGCGTTTAGATTTTGCCGAGGAACAGTCAATATGTAGGCACTTCTAAACACGAACTTCTCAAATGCTGCACGTAACGCCTCACTGGACAACAAGTTCCATAGGGCGGAATTTCCGAACTTGGTTTGGCTTGAGAGTTAATGCGAGTCAAGCAGACATTGATGTAATGCATGAAGACCGAGAGGCCTCACCTTGATGAAGATTTGCTTATCTTGCTCCCCGGGCCTAAACACCAGTGTCCCCTCGACGGGGACGTAGTCGGAATTGGCGTTGGCCGTGCCGTCCTCGGTGTTGTAGTCGACGCACACCGAGTTGGTAAGGTCCCCGTCTCTGACCACGGTGGCCGCAAACTCGCCGACGTTCTCGAAGACTGTGTAGTGGCCCGGGTCGAAGAAGAGCCTGACGCACTCTTCCTCCGTCTTCTCAGCCTCTTCTTTTCCGTCGTCCTTAGCAGAGGCGTCCTTGATGTGCTCCTTCCGCCGCATCAAGTTGCCGGCGCCCATGAGTTTTCGCGTCGCCTGAATACGGTAGAACGCCCTGCTCTTGGGACACCTGCTGAGGATCTCGTCCCTCGCCATTGACTCGAGCTCCTCCAAACTGCTGTCCGGATGCTTGTGTCTCAGCTCACGGAGTATCTGGACATACTCGATACGGTTCTCCTCGAAGGCCTTCGCCTCTGGACTCTGCTCTCCGCCGATGAACTTGACGGTGGGACCCCCAAGGACGCCGTCCACAAGGCGGTCCTTGGCCTGTCCCATTTCGACGTCCTCGCCTTCACCACCCACGATGACGCCTCGCTTGTTGACGCGGTACTTCTTGGAGAGATACTTGTAGATGAGGAGCCTCCGGTCCGCGATGTAGGCCGTGAGCACGGTTGCTGGGAAAAAAAGGAAAGTGACGACGCCTTCCCAGACCTCGATGACTCCGAAGGAAGAGTAAGTGAGGATGAGGTAGAGCCATATGTAGGCGAACACGCTCCACGTCATTGTGACGAAGAACACGCGTAGGTGCTTGATCCTGCGCACTTCCCCGGAAGGAATAGAGTATACGCAGATGGCAATGATAACAAACATGTTGAACGCTGCGCTACCCACAATGGTACCGGGTCCCAAGTCGCCGGCTTCGAAGTTTTGCGCGTAGATCTCGATCACGGACAGCAAGATCTCGGGTGCCGAGGATCCGAGCGCCATAAGGGTCAAGTTCGAGACCGTCTCGTTCCAGACACGGACGTTGATGGATTGGGTCTCTCCGTTCGGCTTCTTGATTATCACTTCTTTCTCTTTAGACGTGATGACCTCGATGGCAGCCATGAAACGGTCCGCGATGATTGACACGCCGACGAACATGTAGGCGAGAGCAATGAAGTAGACCAAGCCCCGCGCGACTACGTCGCCCGTGCTGATGTTGTCCTGGGGCATCCATACCGGAAGGATGAGTCCCTCACGGCATATGGGGCCCTTTGTGCTGAAGTTGACGCTGCTCGCTCCTGCGGACGTCCACGGGATCTGGACGAGGGCTAGCAGGAAGGGCAGTCCGCAGAGCGGCCGTAACCGAGTTGCCATCGTAGGGGCAGCTGTGCTGGGGCCTCAGCGAAGCCCGGCTGAGACTGGCACTGCCAGGGGGAGCTTCACCAGCTGTGACCGCCGTCACTCATGAGGATCCCACCTGGAATGAGTGAAAGAAAGGAAACGATGAGACACAAGAAGAACACATAAAGGCAGGAGAGGCTTAAACATGCCGAAAAGCGCGACATGAGCCATCATTGGCGTTAAGGCTAAACAAGGCGCTCGTACACTGGCAGATGCAGAGTTGATGTGGGTGAATCTGGACTGTCAATACAGACGCATTTTAGCGTAACGTGAGTAAAGCTCGGTTGAAGTTTTGCGAAATTATAATGCTAAAAAAAAAAAAGACACGACAGAGGGTTAACCTGCAAGATGGTAAGTATAGAAACAGTAATTTATTAACGTATCTTCACTCTGGGGGATCAAGAAAATGTTAAACGGTGTCAACTACTCAATAGCCGCCTTGTGAGGCGCAGACGTTGCTTCATACTGAATTATAGCTGGATACATGGGACCGGTTTTTTTCGAGGATAAAGCTTAGAACTACATAGTAGACGCATTCTCGTGGCCAGAGGCACAGCAAGAAATGTGGGCAAAAGGCGTAAAAAGATCAATGTATTGTCGTTTGCAGCTAGGATGCCATAGAATGGTATGATTACATATATTTGCACTGTGCGTATTTCTTTTCTTGGGGGGGGGGGGGGGGGGGGAAGGCGAAAAAGATTGCAGTTTTGAAAGCGGGACATCGTCCTTGTGTACGGTTCCCAAGAAGACTGGAGCACCGCGAGTACTCAAAGATACTTCAAATACGTGTGTTGGCGATTACATCTTTAACAACCTGATTTACTGTTTTTTTATGTTGACAGAAAACGGAGGCGGAAGAAAAGCGTGGACCACGGACCCGTGCTCTTTCGAGCACAAAAAAGGTATGCTCACCAGAGAACACCAACGGTCTTGTCGTTCAGCACGTTACTCCTCTACCTGAATGGACTTCACGCATCTCATGTAAATATTTACGAAATACTGTATATTGTTAAAAGCGTGATCTAAAGTATATTCCTACAACAACCCATCTCACCACCTACTTTGGCTATGCCGCCACTGCCGCGAAGCATCAAGGGAATAGTATTTCTGCGTGTGAAGCGACCTCGCTAGAGCTCAAGCGTGCAGACCACGAGACGGCACGAGCCCCCAATCTCGTGCACTGCCTCCCGCCTCCAGCGAACTAAACTCATGGAAACGTTACGCATGCGCCGAACGCTTGATGAAATTGGTGACCCGGACGCGATTCTCGCGCTTTAACTAATGTCACTCGATTAACGCTTTGCTAAGGAGCGACATCGGTTGATGTGCCGACGCACAGTCCTAGTTGTCCTTGCCCTCGTTCGGTTTCCGGTTAGGAAGAACATGGTGGATTTTACTCGACCTCACTCTCGGGTAACGGTTTTTTTACCTTCCGCGTTCGAAAACCTGCCCGCGCCCAGCGTTGCTCTATCTGGGTTGTCCCGTGGAATGACCCGCCGGAGTAACTCGGAAGATTTCGAACACAGCCATGGCGGGCGAGTTAGGAAGAACATGGCGGACCGGGCGCGCTAGCAGACTACAGGAGCGAGGGGAGGATGGCGGCGGAGGAGGACTTGTCGCTACCTGGCATAGTGTTATCTATACTTCGTTCACCCTTAAGCGAACACTGTACTTAAGCTGAGACTCCGCTTTCAGCGCGAGCTTTCTTCCCTTGCTAACACAAGTGTGAACGCGCAGGCACGCGCAACCAAAGCACTGCGGAAGCCAGCGAGCTCGCAAGGTGGAGCCTCTAGTCTTAGCTTAATGGTGAACGAAATATTGGCGACGTACGCGATCGAAAGCGTCGCTATGATCGGCCTTCCACGATTGGCCCAGCGCTGACCACGACTTCAGACAAGGATTTCTCTTCGACGGAAATAAGAGAAATGAAGAACTTCAATTTTGGCGGTGTTGGCAGCGCTGGTTTCAGAGCGCAATGTTTTCAAGCTTCCACCGTGCTCATTACAAACACCATCGAACTTGTTGTTCGCGAAGTAATGACGTCACGAGAGGGAACCATGCTAGGGCGGCACCAAAACATTTATCCGCTAATAGGGACGTTAGCTCTATTGGGCTCGAGATTCAATCGGCACGGCTCTTGTGGTGAAAAGCTGTACTTCGCTTTGTTTTATATTAACTTGGAGCAAAACGAATGCTGGGCACGCGAGGCCGAAGACATTGGAGGCGCAAATGCAGCGCTCGCGCACTGGAATCCACTGCTAAGTGCTCGTGCTCTGCACCCTTGCCTGTGCTCTTTGCCGTTAGTGTGGAAAACCTTTGTCTCCAGCCGCATTGTGGACAAAGGGAATCACCACGTCCCTCATAGACAACCAGGGGTAAACAAGAGCACGCTTCCCTTAATTGAAATCTGGGTCTCGAGGCCAATAGCCTAAGGCATATGCCTCCTCTATATTCACAAAGCCTGGCAGTTGGATGACGAAGACAGAGTGCCCGGTCACAGATGTGGAGCGCGAGGATCTGATAGCACAGATCATTTCTCAGGGAGTCTGGTATTCACCGCACAGCTTTTGCAGCGGCGAGGACACATGCATGGTTTTCGAACCCGACGAGACAAGAAGCGGTAGCCCGAGGAACGCGAGAGAGAGAGAGAGAGAAAAAACTTTTATTGGCGGAATATGAGAATTCCTTAGAGTGCGGTCCTCGTTGTGGCCGTTGTGGCGGCGACCTCCTTTGCCCTTTCCACCAAGGCGCTTTGCACCTCTGGGTCGGAGCTTCGGAGCGAGGTCTCCCACTCATCATGGGATGGGATTGAGGGAAAAGGGTCTTGTGGGCAAGCCCATATTATGTGGGGCAGAGTGGCTTTGTCTCCACATAGGGTGCATTCAGAGGTGGGGTACATTGAGGGGAAGATGTGGGTGAGGATAGCGGGGTTAGGAAAAGTGCCCGTCTGGAGTTGGCGCCAACTATGGGCCTGCTCCAGGGTAAGGGACTTGTCGGCTGGCGGGTAGACCTGACGGGAGAGGAGGTAGTGTGTGGTGATTTCATGGAAGCTGGATGGATGGTCCCTGGCGGATCTGGCCCCGTGATAGGGATGGAGGCTAGGCCCTGCCCGGATAGTGTATCCTCGGGCTTGTTCATGGGCCGCCTCGTTTCCCTCGAGACCAGCGTGCGCGGGTGTCCAGACCAGTCTGACGGAGGTCTGGGGCGGGTTTCTGTGAAGAATTTTGAGCGCTGGCTTGGAAATGCGTCCAGCTGCGAAATTTTGAAGGGCGGTTTTAGAATCCGTGATGATCACTGAGGGGGTTGGGATCACAGTGAAGGCGAGGGCTATGGCTACCTCCTCCGCCGTTTCTGGGTCAGTGGTCAGGACGGTGACGGCGTCGATGGGGGTGTGTAAGTTGTCAGTCACCGCCGCCGTGAAAGCCCCATGGTGCCTGTATTCTGCCGCGTCGACATATAGGACACCCGGGTTATCCCCGTAGGTTCTTTGCAGGGAAATGGCGCGTTGTTTCCTGCGAGCAAGGTTGTGGGTGGGGTGGACGTTTCGAGGTAACGGATTTGCTATAATTTTGTTGTGGATGTCGGGCCTGATGGGGGATTTGTCTTGGTGGAGCTTGTGACATCCAATGTTTAGGCTGGCGAGTACGTGCCTACCAGTGGGGGTGCGGGAGAGTCTAGTCAGTTGGGCAGCACGATGTGCTTCTATTAATTCGTCCAGGTGATTATGCAAACCGAGTCCTTCCAGTTTGGCAGTTGGAGTGCTAGGCGGTAGGCGCAGTGCTATTTTGTAGGCCTTGCGGATCAAGGTATTAACCTTATTGGTGAAGGCCGGCGTGAGACGTAAGTATGGGACCGAGTACGTTAGCCGGCTTAGGACGAATGCCTGTAGGATGCGTATGCGATCCTGTTCGTTGAGGCCTTTATGTTTATTTGTCACCCTTTTCAGTAGGCCTATTGTTTGATTAATCTGACTTTCTATTCGCTCAAGAAATTTGTTATTGAGCCTATTCGCCTGGATCTGCAGTCCCAAGATTTTGAGCTCCGAGACCACTGGGATTGGCCTGCCATTGATGTGTAGTTCGATGTCAGCGTTGTTTTGTTTCCTAGTGTTGGAGGGCCGAAGTAGTATTAGTTCGGATTTCGCCGGAGAACAAGCGAGACCTGCTCTCTCTGCTTCCTCCGCTACTATGTCAACCCCTTGTTGTAGTGTTTCTTCTATATTGGCGTCACTCCCTCTGCCGATCCAGAGGGTGATGTCGTCCGCATAAAGACTGTGTCGGAGTTGGGGAATTTGGCCTAGCCTTTTGGGGATGTTGATGACTGCCAGATTAAAGAGAATGGGCGAAAGCACAGCCCCTTGCGGGGTTCCCCTGCTGCCCAGTTGGGTAGTGTCTGACGCGAGGTCGCCAACGTTGACTACGGCAGTTCTCTCGGAGAGGAATGCTTTGATGTAGTTGTACGTCCTCTCTCCGGGGTTTACTGACCCCAGACCCCCCAGGATGGATTCATGGGTGACACTGTCGAATGCCTTTGTGAGGTCTAGGGCCAGGATGGCTGCCGTGTCGAGGTTACCTGTGGATTTGATTATTTCTTCAGAGAGCTGTAATAATATGTCCTGCGTGGATAGCCCAGCCCTGAAGCCAACCATGGTGTGTGGGAACAGGTCTGCGTCATTCATGTGGTTGGTCAGCCTATCTAGGATTATGTGTTCCATTAGTTTACCTAAACAGGATGTTAGAGAAATAGGTCTTAGGTGTTTTAGGGTGAGGGGTTTCCCTGGCTTGGGGATTAGAATAACTTTTGCGTGTTTCCATGACTCGGGAATCCTCCCCTCTCTCCAGCATGTGTTGATGTAGTCGGTGATGTCTGTAATGGATGAGTCATCAAGGTTGCGGAGGGTGCGGTTGGTTATTCCGTCCGGTCCTGGCGCCGAGTTGGGTTTGAGCTTGGATATTGCCGACCTCACCTCCGCCTCCGCGATTTCTCGGTCCATGTTGGTGTTTTGCTGCCCAGGGTAGGGAGGGAGTGCATTTTGGGGCCCGGTCGGTAGGTATTTTTGGGTAGCTTGATCGAGCA